TTTTTATGCGGTATCTTGGACGTGTTCTGTCAGTTTTCATTCAAATTTGGCACATACATGTACTTTATACATGTTAGGATGCATGTCCATGACAATTTGTTTCAAAATCTGGTCAAGGATGGTCGATTGACAGCCATCTGACTTTTTGGCCTTACTACTATATTTCCACAATTTATGTACCATTTTCATTCGTATTTGGCACATACATCATTTATATCAGTGTGTTTCATAATCAAGATCAAAGATGGCCGAATAACGGCTGTTTTTATTTTTGGCCATATTACTACTACATGGAACACATGTTTTGATGTAAATAAACAATCTGTTGTATACGCCACTTGGAACTCAAGTTTCAAAGACATGCTCGTGACAACCCCTCCGCTTTAATATGACGAGCACAAGGAGAACTTTCAAAAATTGAACGGGAACTGTGTCATTTTCAATGACTTGTTAATATATATTTTCATGGACATCTTTTGTTCTTGTAGTATTAAAGGAAACTTTGGAGAATCGTGGCGTTCTTGGTCAAATTCAGGCCAGGGTACGAGCTGAAGTCTTCAATGCCTTGGATGACCAGACAGATCCCAGACCACCTCTGAGTAATGAGAATATGCTGATAAATGAACTAGTCAGGGAATATTTACAGTTTAATAAATACAAATATACGGAGTCAGTTCTTCTTGCAGGTTAGTGTTTATAACAATAAATTTCATGAAGGCATGAATGTTTTTTATGGAAATTTACAAAATATTTATAAAACATTTACTCTGTTAGACCCTCACACTCATTCAAAGCTGGAAAATATTCTTTCATTGGCTTAGCCTAGTCCCCTGCCCCAATTTTTTAACCACCCTCATTGAAATTGGGGAAGGGGACCAGACTATCATTGGCTATAAAGCCATTTGGGAATTTATATTACCGTTAAAATCCTATTATAAACCGCGGTTTATATTACAATGTATCAAATAAAAAATTGGGATCAACAGCTCAAGTTCGGGGTGCGGTTTCTATTACGGACATATTGCAATCACTAAATGGGCGTGGTCATTTTTTCCCCACATCACTTGCACAAAACAATACACCGAATAATCTTTTGAATATAAGCGTAACTCCAATTTAGATGTCAGGGAAGAGTGATAAACGTCACGTCACAAAATAACTGTTCACATGAAAAAAAAATATTCATATATTCAGTAATATGCATTTATTTTTTTAATTTTCTTCGTAATGGAAAGTATATTTTGACAGGAGTTTCAAATAAAATCAAGCGCTAAAAAAGTATGGTACCGTAGGTACGGTAACGCAATCCGGCCATGCTTCGGCTCACAAGTGAATAACTTACTTGTTTTCGAAGTGTTGAAATTGTTGATTATTACTCAGTAGTGATTATAATAATGCACGAAAAATAAATTCGTTGAATTGTTATCAAATGCAAGTAAAATTCAATTTAGTTTCACCGTAAGCGAATTAATTCGGTCACATGTAAACGATCGATGCGACATCCACCATGTAGTTTGAATGCACATGAGACGTTACTTGACCAGATAGGTCAAGTCGCTAATTAACCAATCAAAATGCTGCCCACGTGTTCAAATTACCTTGGTTCATTTAAATATGTTAATGACAGGTCACCGACTTCATGGTGAACGAAACCTGGAAGAGATTTACCGATAATGTAGTGCGATCTTTTGGCTTTGATTTCCATGGGAAAATGACATGACTTTTTTTTAAATCAAGAAATTAGTTGTTTTCGAAAGATAAACTGAGCATTGAAAAAGCATTTAACAGTTTTTCGATGATAACAGCTCATTGTCGAAAATTTGCGACGCGGACGTATTCATAAGGAGTATTGACAAAAGTTGTCGCAAGAACAACAGCAGTTTCACTGTGTGTTTGACATCCTAACGCTACTGAACAATAAAGAAACAAATGAATAGGATTAGGAACAATGTATCAGCTGGTTGAAACAAAGTCAGTCACTGTCTTGTTGAATTGGGGGTGCGGTTAGTAATAGGTACTTTTCATGTTTCCAATTTTTGTTGAGAACTCTTTAACACTGAAGCCGAAATCGGGGGTGCGGTTACTATTAGGTATGTGGTTTATAATAGGATTTTAACAGTACTCATGTGTCTTTGCAGATTTCATAAAATCATTGCCCGATTTGCTGACATGCATTTGTTAGAAACATGCTGTGATTGGTCAAATAATTTTCAACTGTCTTTTGGAATTTATAAAACATTTGTAAATATTTTACATAAAAACTGTCATGCCTTCATGAAAGTGATTTTTTTATTAAATGTTACCTGAGTACAGTCTGCTTTCCAAACTTGCGATATTAGATTTGGTAAATAATAGTATAAAAATAATAGTAATAAAAATTAAAATAGTATATATTCAATGTTTTACACTCATTTCTGATAACCCATGGATGTTAACTATAGATTTTAAGTAGTGAATATATATATAAATGTAGATACAATTTCAAACGAGTGGTTATGCTTGGCTGTTTAGAAACCGTCTTCTTTGCACAAAACTTGATTGCTGATTGAATGATGCTCTTATGTCAAATTAACAGTTGTTGATTGGTCGAATGGATTTCAACTGCAATTTTGAGTTTATAAATGTTCTTTAAACAATTATACATAAATTGTAAACCTCATTAATGGGTAACCCGAAGGAGAGTGGACAACTTTTAATCAAATTTATTTTTGTTTCAAACTGAATCTATATCTTCTGATCATCATTTTGATTTTTGTCTTCGTCACAATGATCAGTACTCAACAACAGAAATCTTCAAACGTAAAAAGGTACGATAGCTTCTACCTACATCAGATTTTAATCAGATTGTATATTTAGCAAAAGTATTATCAGGCCTGGCCTTTTGAAAATGGCTGGGAAGCTCTTCTAAGGCAAGTTATGGGAATAATTTTAAAAAAAAAATCTAGTGAAACATGCGTATCATAGATAGATAGTATAGGTGCTTGCTGTCATTGTTTTATTAGCATAATCAGTGCTTAATAAATTATAGTAATAGCAAAGTGTGTTGTTTCCATGGTTTCAGAATCAGGGCAGCCAACCACACCATTAGACAGGCAGTTCTTGACAAATGAACTCAACATAACAGCAGACCGAGATACAGCATCAGTGTAAGTAAACGTGCGTTACTTTATTGTTCTAACTTTTCAATTCATTTTTTTTTAAAAGAAACTCAACTATCACATTCTTTTTATATCAGAATTCTGGTCCAACATGTTACAAATAGCAATCAACATTTCATCTCAACAATGACATCTGTTGTAGTTGAGTGCTACAGTACGTCAAATGAGCACTATCGTAATGAATCCATTATGGAGAAGCACATTGCAAATTACCCACAATTCCAGAAATAAATTCTTTATTTTGATTTCATTTAGTGATCTGATTGCAGTCAATAATGTTTACTAGATTAAATATTTTTTAAGTAACGCTTGTTATGGAGGACCTAGTAAAAAACATTTGTTGGCAAATAACATAAACTACTGATTTAACATGATTATCTATAATGGGACAGTTATTTTTCATGAGTAATGCAGTGTAACCTGCAGCCACATTTTATAAGCCAAACGAGTGAAAATACAGCATCGATACAACGCATCACAACGTGTAGCAAAAACCAATGTGATATAATTCTTTTTCTGCTTGTAGTCTTCATTTTGTGAAAAGAAACAAAAAGCATTTTATCAGGGTTTGCGATAGTGTCTCGGCAAGACGAGTCCCAATTTTATGAAATAGAAACTCTATTCTGGATAACCCTATTAGAGATTTGACCCCAGTTTGTCTGAAAAACTGGGTCCCTCTTTAATAATTGGAGTCAGGGAAGCAAAATATGGGGTTAACGCAATCCCTGTTTTATGTGATTTGTGCAAGTGTGATTGTTTGCATTCAGTGAACATTGTATGCGATTCTATTCCTGTCATGTGCTACATTGATGATGCATCTGATGAAATATCTGACATACATTTCCAAATAAGCAAGACATTTTAACACATTTTAACACTCTCATGAAACTTTTTACCACACTTTTTATGGACAAATGTATTAAATAATTTGATATATCCTTTTTTGTTCTAGACCTCTGTTGTACGGAATTATTGCTCATTTTTTAAACCAAAATAAGAAAGATAAAGCTAGCGCTAGGAGCAGTACACATAGAAGACAGCCGTCACCGAGTAGATTTAGAACTTCACAGTTAGCTGCTGAAAGAGATCTAGGTGAGATAAATTAGTATTGAAGGCTTAACCTTTTGAATGTCATATTTTTTTCCCGCCAAAATATTTGTGAAATATTTTATTTAATTTTTATGTATTTTTCTATCATTTGTTTGATGATTTTAGATCAAAATGACATAATTTTGTATTGGTTACAGATCAAGATCAAAATTTTGGAAAAAAATTATTTTATTTTGTAAATTGTGACAAAAGTTGACTTTTGGGGTGATAAAGGGGTTGGGGTTTTAAAGTGGGTTCAGTGCAAATGTATTTAAAACACTAGATATGTCGTATGCTTTTGAATAGGTGATGCAAGATTTCATATATTGTGAGAAAGGTGCAATCAAATGATTTAATTTTGAACTTGAACTTTTTTATAGCTCATTGTCAAAATCTCGATCTTTCAGAGGATCGTGTGGCATTGAAATGCCTTTACTTATCAAAATTGACCATCGTCAAATGTTGTTATTATTATTACGTGTGGAAATATCCCCAATATACTTTATTTCTGTTTATCAAATCTAAGGCGATGTTTTCACGTTTGATTTCAAGCGTAACGTGGGATCTCGTAGTAAACGGAAAATTTATTGTCGAAAAACAATGTATTTTGGACACATTGTATGTGTATTTTGCATGGGACCCATATCAAACATGTTGACTGTGTCATTTAAAATAGACCTGCTCTATTATGACTAGGATAGCCCTCAGTGTGACCTGATTTTGTTCCTTTTTTCTAAGCAAAAAATAGTTCTACGATTTGTTAAAGGGCCATAGTTGTGCTGCACATGCTTCGCAATGGGTCGCATTACAAGAATTGCATAATTTATCACTGTGCATTGCGCTGTTATCCGAATTAAAACAGGCTGCAGAAATTGACATAACCCACACATTTCGTTGGCCACAAACACCATCACAATTGGCTGGTCTTGAATTTGGATTGCTGCTTCAGTGTTGCTCAAATCCTCCTATTTAGTGCCTCATGGCTTCCCTTCACTACATAGCTTGTCACTATTTTGTCCTTGAAAGCAATGCAGTATGGGTAAAACATGCATAGTGTAAAGTGATGCCCCAACATCCCTTGCTCTGCGTTGGATAGAATTTACCAATTGGAAAATGATTATGATTTTTAATTTCCGTTTCAGATTTTCCGTCCACTAGCCATGGCTTGGAAGCGGAACCACTGGAAGTTAGAGGAGCAGGTGGCAGATGAAACTAAATAGCATGGAATAGTGGTGGCTAATATGTTATTATTTATCACAAGTGCTTCCAATCTTAATATTTGTTTTTAAGTTAATTGCCATAATTTGTTACCACACAGTACTTAATACTAGATTTTATTTTATTTTTCAAGATGTTCAACACATAAAACAAGACAATAGTTTGCATGTGCATGGCAACAGACCATTTCTGTTCAGTGCAATATCCCATGTCAAGTTATGTATGAAATGGAATGTAAAAACAGGACAAAAAAAAGGAATTCAAGTTCAAAATCAAATCATTTGATTTTTGTGGCAGACGTTTGAACCACGTCATTCACACATTATATGAGATCTTGCAGTGCATGGAAAATCGCGCATTTGTTTTGGGTTTCAATGAAATTTTAACCATGTGGTTTTGGGACCTTTTTAATTGTCTAAAAATCATCAATCGTTTTTCAGGTATACATGTACCTATGTCGATTGTAGGTTACTGAATGCACAACATTTTGTTTTGCAGTTTGATGTGAGAATTTGCAACTGCAGAAAAATTTAACTGTATGTGTTGCGTTGCAGATATCCTGGTATTTTTTATGATTCATTTCAATATGGCCGTCAAGCAACTTTTTTTTTAGCTCCGCTGTCGACTTTGTCGAGCGGAGCTTATCATATGAGTGATTGTCCGTCGTCGTCGTCCGTCGTCCGTCGTCCGTGTCAATGTTTTACTTTTTCGACTTCTTCTTGAAAACTACAAGCCTAAATGCTTTGATACTTGGTGTATATGTACCTTGGGTAGACCTCTCTTAGGTTTGTTCATTTCATGTTGATATCTTTAATTCTCTAATTTTGGTGAATATTTTTGTCATTTTTGGTAAAAACTATATTTTCGACTTCTTGTTAAAAACCGCAAGTGCAATTGCTTTGATATTACATCTATAGGTACTACATGTGGACCTCTCTCAGATTTGTTAATTTTGTAATGATACCTTTAATTCTTTAATTTTGGTGAATATTTTTGTCATTTTTGGTAAAAACTGATATTTTCGACTTCTTGTTAAAAACTGCAAGTCCAATTGCTTTGATACTACATATATAGGTACTACATGTGGACCTCTCTCAGATTTGTTCATTTCGTGATGATATCTTCAATTCTCTAATTTTGGTGAATATTTTTGTCATTTTTGGTAAAAACTGATATTTTCGACTTCTTGTTAAAAACCGCAAGTGCAATTGCTTTGATATTACATATATAGGTACTACATGTGGACCTCTCTCAGATTTGTTCATTTTGTAATGATATCTTTAATTCTCTAATTTTGGTGAATATTTTTGTCATTTTTGGTAAAAACTGATATTTTCGACTTCTTGTTAAAAACTGCAAGTGCAATTGCTTTGATATTACATATATAGGTACTACATGTGGACCTCTCTCAGATTTGTTCATTTTGTAATGATATCTTTAATTCTCTAATTTTGGTGAATATTTTTGTCATTTTGGTAAAAACTGATATTTTCGACTTCTTGTAAA